TGTCCCTAAGGTTCAGACACCTTCCATGAGACAATGTAGCCTTCCTGTAAACCATAACAATTGGGGGTCAATCAAATTTAAAGTTGGAAAAGATAGGAAGAGAGAACTTTTCTTAGCTATTTTGTCTTTGTTGGGACATAATACCTGAGTTTCACAATCAAAAGTTTATTTTAGCTCATGGTTTCTGGAGGATTCAACCCATAGTCAGCTCACTTTAAGGGAGCAATGGCATGTTAGAAGGTGCTGGGTGGAGGAAATTTACTCATCCGATGGCAGTCAGGAAGCAGAGAGCAGAGAGGGCAAGAACACACGCTTCTAGCTCATGCCCCACCTCTGAATAGCACTTTTAATTACTGGACTCATCAACAGATGAATCTACTCATGCGTAAAGTGTCCCTATGATACAATCATTTTTACCACACGAGAATCCTGGGGTTGGCACATATTTTACATCTAAACTATAACAGAAGCCAATCATGCTGGCATCTAGGACTCCTAGCTTTCCAAACAATGAGAAAGTAGATTTTTGTTATTTAAGCTACCCATTCTATGGTATTTTGTTATGTTAGCGAAGGTAAGGAAGACATAAGCATTTGGAAGTATTAAAGATCTCTGAAATGTCTGTTCTTGTCTGGTATTTACTGACTGGTAAGGAAAAGTTCAAGCATACAAGCATCTTAAAAACCAAAGGGGAGACAATTCTAAATGTCATTGCTAGTCATTAGGTTATTAACTGGAATGCAAAAACGAACTCTTCACAATTTGGCTCCACTTAACCTTTACAGTTTACCTGCCTTGAACTCTTAAAAATGAGTTACACTTTGCTAGTTAAGACACACATAATATTCAAACAGCTCTCTGTTGGCGATTTGGGGGCACTATATGGACTCTCCCAAAACTCCAGTGTCCTATTGAGTTTTGCCCAATAAGAGGTCAGAGAGAGGAGAGGAATGAGAAATCAAAGTATTTGTTTCTTTTATTCCTCAGGCTCTTTTGCTGCAAGGTTACCAAGAATTGCCTGAGATTTACAATCAAAGCTTAGTGTTCCTCTCAGGATGGCCCACTCTTTGTCCCCCTGAGCTTCTAGCTATTGATTCCCTGCTTCCTGTGGCCTAGTCAGGGTTAAAATTTGAATGCCTTCCAACTCTACCTTCCTTTGAACTCTCTTCAGGTTTCTCCTATATGTTCAATTGTGAATATAATACCTATTCAATCTGTCCTATTTTAAGTATGCCATTTGCTTCCTGTTGGGACCTTGATCAATACACACTTTTAATCAAGCAGCACTCACAGAATAGAATGCCTTTCTTCACCCTTTCTTCATTCTGTTTCTCTGGTCAACTTCTAAACATATTACCAAGCATGACTAAATGTCAAACACCTCTAAATGTCTCTTTTACCACGAGAAAATGAAAGAATCGTTCACCTTTTTTCAGTTCCAATAGCTTTTTATTTTTAAAATGCACACACACACATGCACATACACACACACAAACACAAACACACACACACACACACACACACACACTACAATGCAATACAAGCATCACAGATCAAAAACAACACCTGACACAAAACAGTCTCTTAATAACTATAATAAACTGCTATGGAACAACTTGAGAAAAGTGCTTTTTAAATATGTTATTAAAGTGCACAATTTTATTCAGAAAAAATTAAAAAATCTTTAAGTAAATTAGCTTGGCTATACATTTAAAATGAAAGAGTGTTAAGTCATTAATAATATGTGTAACTGTCCTCCAGAAAAGAAGTGTTCTTTCTTATATTGTTATAGCTGTCCATGTTCAATTTTACCTTATTATGTTATTTTTAATTATTTTTAGTCTCCCATGCTCAATTTTACCTTATTGTGTTATTTTTAATTATTTGTTTGGAAAACTTGTTTAATTAAAATGGAGACATTTCATGACCATGTAAGCAGTTAAATATTTTTTTTTCAGAATGTTCAACTGAAAATATCAGGTATTTTACAAGGAAAACAAAGCTATTTTTCAACAGTAGATAATGGATCATTTTTATTAACAGTTACTAGACAATTCATAAGGACATAACCTTAAGTGAGTTATAAAACTCAGTCTCTTGTGTACTAAAATAAATTCTCAAGTTCAATTTAAAACAAGATTTTTTAATTACCAAAATAGCTTACTTATGGACAACTTTGGAATGAAAGGCCAAAATCTTTAGTTGATTTTTGTAGCGAATTTAACCCCTCCACCAAAGAAAATTTGATAATCATACTCCATAATTAATTATATTACTATATTAATACATATTTTAATATCCTCTGAAAATTTACTTGACATTTGAAATTTCGGAAGAGTCTGAATAGTATTTATAATCTATATTTCTAGCTAATGATTTCCACTGAAATTTTTAGACAGTAACAATAAAAAAACATCATAGAACAGTTTACCTAATGCTGGTTCAATATTTCTTTACTACTAAACTACTACTAAGAATTTTAAAAGACAGGTGACAATGTAAAGGCCATTTTAAAATCATTATATAATTTTGTTAAGATGAAGTTTAAAAGAAATCATAATACAGTACATAGCATAGTAAAAACAATAAAAACTATAAAAGATTTCAATCAGACTGGAGAAGTATTTGTCTAACATAATTCCAATACATATCAATTATCATTTACTCCTTGTAGAGGTTGAATATCCTTTATCTGAATTCCATAGAACTGGAAATGTTTAAAATTTTGGAACATTTGCATATAAATAATATATTATCTTGGACAGGGACTAAAACCTAAATACTGTAAAATTCTTTTATGTTTCATAAATAAACACTCAGGATGTAACTTTATACCATATTTTTAGTCACTTGTTAGTGAAACAAATTCATGGTGCAGAATTTTCCACTTGGGGAATCATCTCTGTTCTTGAAACATTTCAGATTTAAGAGTATTACGAATTTCGTATTTTTGGATTAGAGATATCCAATATGAATGTAATTAGCACTTGTAGAGAACAACAATGAAATTAAATTATACATATTTACTTTACATAGTGTCAGAGCTCATGAAATTTTCTAACTTAAAAAGGCAGAAAAAATTCAACATTTTAAAATATTAAATTCAATTTTTGAAATAATAAAACATTAAAAAAACACAAAAGAATTGCCGTGCATTATTGTTTATACATAATTAGGTCTTATAAACTACAGATGAATCAAGTTATTTGATAGATTATACAAAAGAAGGCTAAAAAAATGGTTTCATTCAATAAATATTTCTAAAGTATCTTTTCTGACAGGCTTCATTCTTTGAACCGAGAATACACAGTAACAGCAAACAAAAAAGCAAAGGCCTTGGTCTTATAGAGCTCATACCAATATGGAAAAGGGATTATTTATATTAAATTTAAATCCTTCTTATTGTATATGCTGTAGATACTTTGTCTCTAATTTACTACAGATTAAAAAGAATTTTGGTTGTCTCCTTATTCCATACAATATGATTTTCTGGTAACCATTTTAAATGTAGCAATGTTCTAGTAATTTTATTATTTCATTGTTTGTCTAAAAAAAAAAAACCTTAAACCTGCAAAACCCCATATGCTATTATGCATTTCTATTTTAAATATGTTTTGCATAATCAAATCAATACTGAAAAGTAACAAGTACTAATAAAAATAATTCAGTCACAGGACTCATCATAATTGTCTCAGGAAGGGAAAGAGATATAGGTACACTAAATATTATACATAATCATCTGAGCATAGGGTCAAATAGAGTAAAGGTTGAAGGCATATAGCAGAGGGCCTAAATCTGTAATCCAGACTTTGGGACACACTGGCCAAGTATCCTTCATTAATAAGGCCAGGGATGTCCGGCCTGTGGACCACGGTTGCTAAACCACACAGTGAGCCAGAGGAGGAGGAATGTGGTGGGTACTCAGCCTACTTGCCATAGACAGGCCCCTGAGCCGACCCAGGTGGTCTCATTAACCAATCACTGAAATCAGAGGACAGAAGAGGAAAGCAAAAGAACTTATGTTCCCAAAATTCAGAGGTACCCAACATAGCATCTCTTCTCACAATTGATGTAGTGCACTACAACATCAGCTTTCTCAAGACTCTTTACAAGTAAGAATGCTTTCTAGATTTGATGATCTGAAAATGGGTTTAATTTTTGTATTAAACTTTATGTTTCCTAAGGTCAAATTTTGGAATTACTTTTTATATATCATTTGTTATTTTAAAATGTCTAAACATTTAGATGATACAACAAAGCATGGTGTCTTAGTTACTTTGTTGCTGAGACAAGATATCCACTGCCCAAAGTTAAAGAAGGAAAGGTTTATTTAGCTCACAGTTTGCAGAGGTTTCAGATCATAATCAGCTGCCTCCAAAGCAAAATGATTTCACAGAGGAGAACAACTCATGGCAGGCAGAAAGTACCAGTAAAGCCAAGTGGGAGAGGGGCATTTCAGAGGTGGGAGATTTTACAGTATATTTTGATGGGATTAAGGATGTTTGATTAGTGAATCACTCTATAGATTGGTTTGGCATAGTTCTGGTTAGAAGAGTTGTGAATGCTACACTTGTCCCAGGGCTGGCAGCCTACATACAATATAAGGAAGAGAAAGAATCTTATGTCCCCTCCTAACTTGTTGCTTTTGGTGTTTTCCATGTGATGAACTTTTGTCTCTTTGTCACGTACTGCTCTGCCTTAGAGCCAGCCAATTATGCACTGAAACCTCTACAAACTACAAGCTAAATAACCTTACCTTCTTTTACTTTGGGTGTTGGGTATTTCCTTTCAGCAATGAGAGAAAAGTAACAAAGACATTTGAAACTTCACAAACACGTCTAATGTAACACATTCTAATTCCCTGATGTCGACTCTATTCAGACATTGGTACTGTTTTATCTTTATCATACACTGGTTGGACTTTCTAATATTTTAGGTTGAACTTTACAACAGGATAAAAGCAAAATGATAAGTTAAAAAAAACAGAACAGATAAAATACCTTTAATTTGGATCCATGAGGTACCATTACAAATTTATTCTGTTTTGGTGGGATATAGAGCTCCCATTTTCCATAATCCAGTTTTTTATAAGGATAAGAAAATGGATTCCAGCCACCTAAAAAGACAAAGGAGATCAGTTAACAATCGCCTAGCAGGACTAATATTTAATATGTTTCAAGTAAATGATGATTTACTGCTTACTTGTACAAAATCAAATTACCTTAAAATATTTTTTTTCTAACTTCATAACCAAAAGATTTAACTAGGAATTTAGAAAAAGCAGCCTATTATAAACATAATGAATACATCTAGAGCTAAGAGGTAACTTAATGGTAGTGACCGCTTAGCATGCATTTCACCCTGAGTTGAATCCCTGGCACCACCCAAAAAAATCCTAAAATTAAAGATGATAACATTATAATTGTCATTTCAATTAACATATCTATCAATAAATAAATTGTAAAAGAAAGTGATTTTTTCTATTTTTTAAAACAACAACGAGATGATATAAATGAAAATAATTACAAGACATATGCCATGGAAGAAAAAAGGCTAATAATTAAAATCATATAATACATCCATAATTCATAAGAATAAGACAGAGCTCAATTAAAACCTAAAGCAATGGCACAAATAAAAAAGAAATACAGTATATGAGTTAAAGGAAATCTATATTGCAAATCTATGAAGAAAGTCAAAATGAGTAACAGTAAAAACATACACATATGGAAACAATATACAATGGAGTTCACACAAAAAACAGTAAGCAAAAGACACAGAACTTAATAAGTAGTACTGGAAAGTTAGTTATCCTTATTTTAAAAATAAAATGTATCTATAATAATAATAATATTAGAAAATCAAATAGAGATTAATGTTTAAATATGGCATATGAAGATGGCACATAAAACTTTAGCATGCTTAGAACAAAACACAGACAGATATATTTATAATTTTGGGATTTGAAAAAGATTTTTAAATCAGGTGTAGCAGTGCACTCAGAAGTGTTCACTAAAGAATTATTTGCAGCAATGCAAAAGCTGTAAGGGATCAAAATTTTACTAGTCACAAAATGACTACATAACTAATTTTGGTGCAATAAACAATGGAATGCTATATAATAGTACAAAATGAATGGATTAAAGTGAATCTTTTCATGTTTTATTTTCATATATATATAGTTAGCTTAAAAGGCATGCAGAGGAATCATTTATATCAAGTTCATAAAACATGCAAAAAAGTAACACAAAGATGTATGTAATAAATTACTGAAACAGAAATATCAGACTATATTGATTCACTATGATGACTAAAAGAAAGAGAACACATAAAGCTTCAGTAATATATGTTTTCTGAATGGTGAATAGTATACACACAGATGGTTATTACATTATTCCTATTTGTTTATGTCTAAAATATTTCATTGTATAAAAAAGTTAAGCAGTCTAATATATACAATTTGTGGCTGACTAATATTACATTTTCATCAAAGCATAAGGAAATTTGGGAGCCAGTTTTCCTCCTTTTGAACCAAGTCTTTTACTCCATGAGCTCAGAAGACCTTCATTTTTGCCAGTCTAAACAATATAGGTAACACAGGAGCAAAAATGCCATTTAAATAAAAATATTTCCAAACATTCTCTATCCTATTCTCCATTTTGAAGATAACCTGAAAATTTCTAGAGGCAGTTTATGCTTAGGGCTGGGCCAACAGAATCATTGTTATTCCACAACTCTCATCAAAAATATCAGACAGGTAGCCAGGTTGTGACAACCTTTACAAAACAAAGTTTAATCCACAATTTAAGGGGAGAAAAAGTTTGAAACCTAACTATTTGGTTGCTATATCAATGTATACATTTACTAAATTTCCACGTAGGCAAGACACTTCAGGTAATTATTAAACTTAAGGCAAGCAGCAGATCATGACCTGCTAAGATCAAAAGATGAAGTCATTAGTTCATTTACTCATTAATATGCAATTTGTGCTTACTGTAGACTCTACTCAATGGTAAATTGAAATCTGAGTTCAAAATGAATCGCATTTCACCAAGAAAATACTAAATTAATAGTAAGCCAAAATAAAACTTTCAGAGAATTTACTAAAAATTCAACTGTAAATAAGATTTTGGTACTTTAAAGGAGAAACTTCAATGATATGTGAAACCCAGATATGCAGAGCTACTGAAAAGAGTTATTCTCGGCACTGTAAACATATTTTTGAGTCAATTGAAATAGCTCCTTAGTTTACCATCATTGAGTTATAAGATCTATTTTTAAAAATATTAGTATTTGAATAAAAATACTTTCTTAAAATACCATATTTTTATAATTATTTAAATGATCTACAACTGCAAAAACATAAATTATTTATAACTCTATATTTTGGAAAAAATATGTTTTTTGTCACATTCAGTGTTTCGTACTGCTAACACCTCAGGGAAACTCAGATGTTGACTCTCCCTGCAGTACATTTCCTTGCCAGACCTAACTTCAAAGCAAACCTTAGAACATCTTCACAGGCACGTCAAATGAAAAACCACTACACCAAAATTCCTAAGTGATGCAGAACAAGTCCAACATTTCACACAGGCAAGCAGAAGTTATAAAGCATATACATATAAAATGACTTAAGATTCCCCCATAAATCCACACCAATCCCTCTTCAGCATCACCACACTGCAGTCTTCAATGTCCTTGACTGTTTCTCCAATCAGTCATCACCCTAAAAGTCTCCTTCCTCTTTCCTTTATTAAATAGTGTTTCTTCAAGGGCAACAACTGAGATACCTACTTTCACAAGGCAAGCATATGAAACATTCTTTCTTAATAAATCCAGTTTCTCTCTAATATGCATTTCTCAAAGTATCTTAATAATGTGAGATTTTCTTTATAAGGTGCATATATCTCAAGGCCCAGAAATAATGCTGATGTGGTAGGTATATGGCTATAACCCCAGTCAGCTACTAGGGAAGCTGAGGCAGGAGAATTACAATGAGGAGCCCATCTGGGCATCTCAATGATTTAACCAAATCCTGTCTCAAAATTTAAAGTCACAAATAAGCAAAGCAAAACAAAAACTTTCATCATTGGGGGGCGGCGTTTGCTGGGGATGTAGCTCAGAACAAATCCTTGGATACAAACCCCATTATTTTTAAAATGGGGGCCCACAAACTGAATAATCAAAAAAAAAAAGGGGGGCTGGGGGTTTAGCTCAGCGGCATAAGCACCTGCCTTGCAAGCAGGCAGTCGTGAGTTCGATCCCTGGTACCGATAAAAAAGGAAAAAGACAAAAAAAAAAAAAAAAAAAAAAACCTCATTGGATCATTTGGAAGTGCTCTCATAAAATTAATAGGAAATGTTTAATTAAAAAAAGAAGAGTTGCTGTGGCTATAACTAAGTGATAGAGCATTTGATTAGGTAGCATGTCCGAGACCCTGGGTTGAAAACCCAGCACTAAAAAAGGACAGGAGGAAAAATAGGAGAAGGAGCAAACATCCTTAGGGTATGTCTAAATATGACTACAAAAAATAATCATGAAGTATATAAGTAAACATAAATACATAAAATTAAGCATCAAATAATAGAAAATACTGAACAATAATTTTGTTTTTAAATAAAGTTTTATTTAGAAAAGCACAGAAGACAAAGAGAAGTTGATAATCACATTGTAGTGAAATTTACATGTTATGCAATATAACTGAATACAACCAAAAATAAAATAATAACAGCAAACAATCCTAAGACATACCAGAGTGTAGCTAAAAAATAATAATTTTAAGCCAAATAATCCAAATTCTTTTTCACTTTAATCTTGTACGACTTACATCCTGAGTATACAAAACAAAACTAACCCAACTAGGTACATAGTTAAATTTTATTGGTATATAGGCCTGAGAATAGAAATAAATTTAACTCCTCCTCATATGTGACAATTACTTACTTCTTTGCTAAGCACATAACTACACAGGAAGATTTTCTAGATAAGTGGTCTCACAGTTTAACTCACACCAAAATTACTTGTGCTTGCTAATTCTGAACCCCACTCCCTAAAATTTAAAACCTAAAGAAGACCTCAACCATCTGAAATTCTACCACATACGCTACTGTTGTTGGGACTGCTGGCCTCCAGGCTACACTTTAGAAAGAATTGTCAGGTAAAACTAGTTCACAGTTGTACACAAGTATTCTCCATTTAAAGGTTTGTCAATGAGTCTCCAGATCAAATTGAACATAAAGAATAGTAAATAGTATACTGAATTAATAGTTCAAAGAAACTCTGAAATAGAAAATATCATTAATCATCTTTTAAAGCAACTGTTATATGTAACTTCAGATTTAGGTTTAATGAAGAGTATAAAGCCCAGAAATATGACCAGTGAAATACAGAATACAGAACAGATCTGAGATTAAGAAATTTAAATGTATTAATATGAGGAAATAATAATTGAGAATTTCAATATAAACCCACAAAACGCATTAGAACCATTAATAAAGTATGTAGATATTAGTGTAATAACAATAATTTTATAATACTCTCACCAAAAGATTGTACAATTAATAGGTACAGGTCACACATCACAAAATGAATAAATATTTGAAGGTTTTTAAATTAGACATTACTAGATTCAGGAATAGGTATACCCAAAGTAATATGTGCTTGCTACTGTTTTGATAAAATTTTAAGAACATGTTTCTTGTTTGCACAAATTATTTTATTGTAAGATTTCATCAGACATTTGATATTTATCAACTTAGAACATGCACATTTCCAAAGCAAACAGTTTAATAGGTATTTTATCATTAACAGGCTTAAATTCATCAACATATTTGAAAAAGGAAAAGATTCTATTTGTTCATAGAATCCAAAGCAGCTGATAAATTTAAATCGAGATATGGAAAAGAAATGATGTGTTGCAGTTTAATATGAACTGCAAACACACTTCCAGCATAGGCGATCAAACATTAACTAAGGTCACTGCATCAGACACACAAACCCTCTGTGTTTATCTCAGACTCAACAACCTTTCTTTCTAATGTAATCATCCTCACATAAATTTCTTAAATGTCAGCTGCCTTCAAATATCCCCAACCTCCTTCATTCACTAGTAGAGTA